TTTTTTTTTTTGTCTTTTCGTGATTTCTTCGTTTTTTTTTTTTCACCTGTCTTTCGTTGTTGTCTTTATTGTACAATTAACTCAAATACATTTGTGAAGTGGTAGCAGAAGAGCAAAAAAAAAGAAAAAAACAGAATTACAAAAAAGCTTCAAATAACCATAACGTTTTTTCTTTGTTTTTTTTTCTTACTGTTTTTAACAGAGGTTGTTATGGTAACATTGAACAAAATGGCACAAATTGATAATGAAAATAACTAAGAACAAAAATTTTTTTTCAAAATTTGATACTATTTTCAAGTTGGTAAGTTTTTTTTTTTCTTTCTGTATACTTTTTGAACAATATTCAATCATCTCGCATTGGGATTCTGTTTATTTTGTTAATTGTTAATTAACAAAGCAAATAGTTCGTAGACGACATAATCACCAAATGAGTGGCTAAAAAAAAGAAAGGAAAAGCAATTGTGCTTTGTGAAAAGAATACTTTGAAAAAAATCAACCAAAGTGAAAACTAGCAAATATAGTACAGTCTAGTTGACAGCTATAAAATGACGTCTTTTTTTTTGACTTTTATTCCAATAATTTTATCGTTTCCTGTCCATTGCTTGACTCAGAAAATTTTCTATATTACACATGCAACTAGCAGCAGCTATAGCAGCAATAAACCAATAGCTTTAACCAACAGCTACAGTGATAATTGTAGTAATCTACAGAAAATGAAGCTGACATCAACGAACAAGATGTGTTAGAAAGAAAAGATAAAACAGAAAAAAAATAAAAAAAAACCAAAGAACTTGAATAATGTTAAATTTTTTTGGGGTGGTATTGATGGAAAGTAGTATCGTTTCTTGACTTCAGTTATAAAAATCGGCAACCGCAACAGTACTAAGAATATAATTTATATTTTTGGTGGTCTCCAATAGCGGCATTTGAAGTAAACGAAAACAAAACAAAAAAGAGAAACAAAAAAAAAAAAAGTAATTGAATAAGAAGAATAAGAAAAGGGAATGGAAAAGCGAAGATGACGATGAAGAAGGAAAAAAAAAAAACATGAAGACGAAGACGATGTCGCCTTTGTCGCCATTGGTCGTCGTTGCCATCATTACCATTTGCTTGACGGGTGAAGAAAACAGATGACTTTAGTTATTGTAATTCAGAAGCACCCCTCCTCCTCCTTTCCCCTCCCTTCCACTTTCTGCCATCCTTCAAGTAGTGTATACCAGCCAAGTTCGTTGGACTGATGATCATTTGCTGATGGTCGTCGTCGCCATTGTCGTTGGTGTCGGTGTCGTTGTCGCTGTCATTGTCGTCGTTATTACTGTTGGCACCCACTGTGAAGAAATTTCACTTTTTTTTTTTTTTTTTTTTTTTTTTTTTTTT